AAAAAAGAGATACGTTTCATCTCGGTGCAGAAGATCCACTCGGCAGGACATAAAGGAACCACAAGAACAAGACACAGGCTGAACACTCCATTTATCCGGTGTTTTACAGCCTACCTTTAGACTAACTTTGAGTTGTGCGCTCTGCTGTGCAGCACATAGCAAACATACTAAGCAATAACCTCAATATAACACTACTGAGAAAGCTGTGAAGGGAAATAAATAAATTAATATAACTGTGAATGGCTGCTTTAGGCAGGGAAACTGTTGTGAATTATTACACAATGTTCATGTTGAATAAATCCCCCTCTTACGCAACAGACAGCAAAGTTAGATTTTTGATACATTTCGGAAATGGATTTTGAAAGCAATTCATTTACATCTTCAAATGTTTATTTTGTGGGGAGACTCCACCAGACTCAATTTGCAGGGCTGCAGAAATCAAAGAGATGGAGTCACTTCTAGTGGCTGCAAACTCAATATGCAAAACAGCAACATTTACCCAAGTGAAAATGCAACGATTTGTTGGTTTACAGGATTTGCATTTTTTTTATGTATGAAAACCACAACGAATGAGGGGAGATCCCATCTCTCTTATTTACAAACTACCTCCCCTCCCTATTTCTGTTGCTTCAGAATGCCTTATTTAGACATGAGTAGCATCAGTTTAGTTAAACAGAAAATAAGCTAAATAAACTGAAGCCCGGCACATGGCAGTGAAGAGAACAAAATGTTTGGACTATAAGCACCACATTGCACAATATGACTTGCGCTGAAAATGAAAGAATCCTGACATTTTTTGGTCTGTTTATTTACCCAAACTCATACTTAAACGCCAGATTCAAACACCTTGGACCTTCACACTGCATAGTTACTCATAACATAAGAATAAATATTAGTAGAATGTCTGATACTTCCGAGGTAATGAATATTTTTTTGGGGGAGAAACAGTAAATATTGACATTGAGTTGTCTGTTCAAAACCCTATTTGGTCGATAACTTAAGTAAAACTATAACTCCTACCTTTCTCACCTTGAAGTTACTTTCACTTGATCATGAAACCACATAATAGCCAAATGCTATAAATAAAGCTTCTTTGACTGCTCCATGTTATAAATTTAGCTTCCACTACAATAAAAAAAGAACAAAATGATGGGACAAGATCTAATTTTGACTGTTATCAGAATTCCTTCAATATGGGTTATGTTTAGGAGCGAAATCTGTTTTTTTCAGGGTGTGCCTGTTAAGTTATTTGAATACAGGAGGAACAGATGCAGTGAGAAGCCTACATGCTATTGGAAGAAGTTAGCACAAGCTAGAAGAAAAACTCTGAGATGTTCAAGAAGTTTACCAATACTTATGTGTTGAGTTTAGAGCCTGAGAACTAGTCTCAGCTAAGAGCTAGCTAGGTCTTCACCTAGCTAGCAATTTGGCCAAGCCTGATGAGCAAAATGAAATGCAAATAAGCAGTGACTTTCATAGACGTAGGAGTTTAAAACTAGCCAGCTAGTTTCAGCATTGAAATTTTGACAAGCAAACTATAGTAGCAAGCTAGCTGTGCTTGCTTTTGTTTAAACAGTTGCTTCCAGATAAGAAATCCCCATGGTTCTAAACATCTTTTTTTTTGGCTAGTAGCTACCATTCAAGTTCCCAGCTGAATCGCTGGCTAGCTCTCTGCTGAGCAACTTAGGAACTCCACAGCCATGGGAGCTAACCTACTTCTTAGTTCTCGCTAGCGTACGGCAAGAAAATTATTAACTACTCCGCTGAAAACCAAAAGGCTTAACTCTTAACTCTTCCGTAAGTCTTTGCCAGCAAGCAAAACTCTCAAAAACCTCTACGTCTTTTATTAGTCCAATTCTTAGAAAATCATGTCTGACAAAACATTCATGGTTGAATAAAGCCAGTATTAATAGGATCAAACATGACATGAACAGAGATTAAAAAGCAATAGCCAGTGTCAGCTGCTATTGGTTTTAGAAGAAGAAAAAAAAAAAGAGCTAGCGCCAAGACATCTTGATGCCATTTTCTTGTCTTTTATTTAATTGGTGGTAAAAAAAATGTTTTAAAAAGTTTAAAGCTAAATTCCCTTAAAATTTAATTTTAGGGGATTAATAACTGCTTCAGGGTGACTTTAAGACCATCTCAATAACTAAACCCATTGAAGTACCACACAGCGCATTCTGTAATTAATTAATTTATGAGTAAGAAGATCCAAACAGATGTTAGGGGTCCCTGCAGTTTCTAACCGACGAAAAAAGCCTGACAGGTAATGTCAAAGGCCCACCACAATTATCTCACAGTCAATTATTCAGACTCCTGGTTGCAGGTTTCTTTTCGGCAGTTTCTGTCCCTCAGGATCCTTTCCAGGTCTGTCTAGTGTAAAGGGACTGCACGTTTCTCTGCTTAAGTCTCTATTAGAGCCAAAAGCAAGAACGGAAAATGTGAATTTGCCATAAGTCAGGGCGAAAAAGAGTCAGAATAAAATCCCACAGCAGGACACCTCAGGAAATCTGGTTATGCTGACGCGAGGCAGCTCATTTGTAATTGTCCCTGCTTGGATATCATGATAAGGATGTCTGCAAAAGGCTCCACATTTCACATTGAATTTTTCAGTACATACACTAGAAAATACCATCAGGTTGTATGCACTCTTAAACAATTATTATGACAGTAAAAACTCATAACACCGCTTTATGCCACAATAGCTGAAAACCCTAGCCCTGGATATGGCAAATGTATTAGTATCCAGTACCGATAATCCACTAAATATCACTGGAAAATGTGCACATGCATCAGTTCAGTGCACGGTTTGTATTATTCATGCATTTCAATTCCCTAAAATGAAAAAAAATATATATATACAAAAACTGCGAGAGTCTTTCTACGGACCCAATTTGTGAGTCAAGTACGCTTTAGGACCTGAGAGCTAAATGCTCAGTCCATTAGGCTCTGTGAGGCAAAAAAAAAAAACAAGAAGATCTGCATCTTCTGCCAGCATTAATCAACGAGCGGCCCACTCACCCAGGTCTCGGCGCTCCTGAACGTGCCTGCCATCACTCTGGCGCTAACTCTCAATTGTCCCCTCAAGGTTACTGCCTATCGCGCGGCTTTGCTAACAGGACGGTAGCTGCATACTGAGTGCATCAGCAGGGCTGGAGCCAGAGAGCCACTCCGGGCTAACTTCAGCTCTCTCTGCCTGGACATACATCACCCTGTGATCACAGCTAAGATACTGATATGAACACCATACATTGTGTGTGTGTATATATGGAGATATATTAGCATACATATTAGGTGTGATCATAGGATGATGATTTGGTTTTAGAAGTGGAGATGGGAAAGATGAAGAAAGTCCTGACAAAGAAGCTGAGAGAGTTTCTAAATACTTGGTAGTAATTACACACACACACACACACGGGAAGGGTCCTTGTGATGCCAGCTACAGCTAGGCTATGCAAGAGGATGGTAGCGGCACAAGCTGCGACAAATAAGCGTGCAAATCCTCACCCAAGTATAACCCCGGCCACACAGCTCCCTCCAAGCCATTATCCCTTCTTTCAACTTTGTCCCCTCACGAGAAATCTGGTTTACGAGCACTCCACTTGGCTAACGTACACGCCGGCCGTCAGCCGCCCTCACGCTGGCATGCAGCCGCCATCAATGATGGATGGTGCATCCATTAATCATGAGAAAGGGGAGAGAGACCTAAAGTCGAAGTCCCAAGAGGGGGTGAGGGAACCAATGGCGAGGAGGCAGGAGACATTCGAGTGGACGTCGGGTCAGGAGAGAGCCGGAGCATTGCCAAAACTACTGCCAATACATGAGCAATCCCGCAAATGAAGAGTCCAGAGCAAAACGTATCGGAAAAAAAAGTTCCAAACTAATTTATTCTCTGTTAAATATTTAAGTATTTAAGTGCATCTCATAAAGACCTCAGCAGCGAGCTGGAGCCCTAACCCCAACTACAGCTCGTTTCTTCAGAGTGGACGTGAGGCATTTCGTGGTACTTCTTTAGAGGTTCCACTTTCGGTCAAGATGATCCCACACCGCTCTGATAATGAACGAGGGCTGGGCTCTGGTGGGGACTCATCCCTTCATAGGACCCGTGGCCACTCGCATGCTGTCCAGCTCTGGTGTCATTTGGTATACATCAGCCTGTTTCCCTTCCTTTAGAAGGACTCCTTCCTCTGGTGTTATTTCCAATCAGGCTCGTGCTCCCTTCTTGTCCTTTTGCTTCAGGTCACACCAAACCAGGAGCCAGGTTTTCCTTGGCTTCTCTTTGAAAGGCGCCTCATCGCGTCAGTCCAACCGGGCTTCCTTTGGCATTTCTCACCTGAAGAAGTGGGAGCCCACTGCTGAGTGACAAAATGCCACAAACATACAGTTTACAACAGATCCTGTGCCAAACCATTCGTTGTGTTGAGGCTAAGCAACGGTTCCACCCTTGAGCTCGCATTAATGAGGCTGCAACCATCCGGGAGGTCAGTTTTAACAACAGCAAAGACAACGGCGGACACTGGCCATTTAAAACCCGGGCGCACAAGTGCTTTCACAGCCTCTAAAAGCACGACTGTGTGCGTCGGAGTGCAGTTATGAGCCATATGTGGCCACATATGATGCAGAAGTACATAAGGAAACAGGAATGTACTCATGTACCCTCTTCCCCCCCCCCCTCAGTGATCCTCCTGGGGATTTAAGGATAGGACTAACTGATTTAATTAGGCTCGGACTCACCTCAGCCTGTGGGAGCAGACCCACTGAGGCATCCACTCAAAAATCCCCTTCTAAGTGTTTACAAAGCGGTGCCTCTCTCTTAAATCCATCCATACTGGCACACAAACACGCGCACGCACGCGAGTTGGGGATGCAGAAGGTTGGCACGTTGAATGACAAACCGGGCGAGTACCGCACAGTGACCACAGACACGGTCAATCGATAAAACCCTCAGCAGAGGTTCCGGGCTGAATTCCAATAAGTGCGCGTGTCCCTGCGGGGCTTACCTGGCTTGACGGTCTTCAGGCGGATGGGCTCTCGGAAGTGGCGGACGACGGCCAGCGTGTCCCGGTGGGTGAGTCCGCTCACCGGGGTCCCGTTCACCTCCAGCAGCACGTCCCCGCCGCACGGGAACCTCCCGGCGTGGCACGCCACCGCCTCCGCCGCCACCCGCCCCAGGTGCGGGAACTCCCCCAGCTCCGCGCCGCCCAGCACCTCCACCACGGCCGCCAGCTCCCCCCCGGCACCACCCCCCCACGACACGGTGCACTCCTGCACTTTGGCCGACCAGTGCTTCTTCTTCTTCAGCGTCTTGGACATGGCCGCTTTGGAAAAAGCCGAAGAAGTAGTCCGAGAAAAAAAAAAAAAAAAAAAAAAAAAAAAAGCGAGCGTCCTTCAGATCCTTAAGCGGAGATCCGAGAAGTTTAGCCTTCTATCTCGTGTTGTATTCCATTCCCATGTCGTTTAAAACATTTTTGTTTGTTTTTTTAAATACCTCAAACTCGCGTGCTGACAGTGAGTCACCGGGGCATCATCGGTCCGCGAACAGCTGCGTCAGTGCCGCATTAAAGCGGAGAGCTCGGGTTCTGATGCCGGGGTGCTTCGATCCACACACCCCCCAGTGGTTCTTTCTCCTTTTCTTTTTTTTTTTTACAGTAACGTGCGCCTCACGAGCAACAGCACCTCCTCCCTCACCGATAACTCCCCCAGCCCACCCCCCCTTCCCTCCTCTCCTTTCCCCGTCGGATGCAAAGCGGAGACGGATCGGCTGTCAAGACCCAAAGCGTCTCCCCTTCCCGATAAAAAAACGAAGCCTAAAAATCCCGCTTTTGGATCAGGACGCGGACCAGAGATGATTTAATCAACTTTTCTCTTTTTTTTTTCTCTTTACAAAAATATCCTTCCAGATGCTTCCGTGCGGATTCGGTCCTCGTCCAAAAGCGGGCGGCGAGGGGAACTTTCCCCGGCGGCGCACCTGTGCCGCTCGGCTGCCCTCCTCCCGGGTGACATCAACAAGCCAGTCCCTGGAAACGGAAAAACATTGCCTGCCCTCCTCTAAAAAACCGAGGCGGGGACTCGGTTCTTATCCAAACCGCCCTTAAAAAGTTTACACGTCGGCCTCCTCCGCTTCTTTCGGCTTCCCTCCCGTTTTTCTCGGGTGCTCCGTCCCAGCTGCTCACGCCGAAGTCCGCACGGCACCGCGTAGCAAACGTTGTCCAATTTGTCTGAGCTCCATAACTTTTTTTTTTTTTTCTCCCGTTTTAAATCCCTTTTCCGTGTTTCCTTTCTGATTGGCAGGGAGGTCTGTCCAATGGGGGTTCGAGGGGCGGTCGTTAAGGGTTTAAGAGGGACCAATGAGGGACCGCCGGAGGCTGGCGTTACTTTGGTGGGAAACGTAGCGTTTTGTTTCCATGGAGCTTTTAACGGGAGGTGTTCACGCTTTTAGGGACACATTTTCAAGTGGAAATTGCTCACTTTTGCGACGAGATGTTGATCAGCTCTGTGTGTCTTTTGTTGGAAATATTATCATCAACTTTCATTCACTTAAAAAAAGAAAAATAGAGTTTTTGTATTCATTCATTAAAAATCTGAAAATACTCAGTAGATGGGACCTTTTCTTCAAATCCTTTGCACAATACTGCCTCCTTTTGGTTCTGGAAGGGCTTGACGTCTATTTTTTTTTTTTTTTTTAAACAACATATTTTGCCAGAAGTCATTGCATGACAAATAATCTAGGATATTCAGCTAATTGTTTACGCAATATGCATAATAATCTGTGGATTCAGGGTGCGTCTGACTGCCTTAAAACCAGCCACAGACCACAGATTCTGCTCTGATCAGCATTTATATTCTCTCTTTGGGCCACTTTAAGCCCTCACAACACGTCCCGGTTTCATGGCATAAAGAACACAGGTTCAAATCCCAAAATGTCTGTTACCTGGGATAAGAATTAGTTTGTGAAGTTGGGCCTGTTTTCCTAACAATCCATGTGCTGTGCAAAATGTGGTGCGCAGTCTTTAGATATATAATGAAACTGACAAAAAATAGATAAATAGAGATAAAGAATACTTCGATAAAATCAATGTGATGAAAAGATTCACAAACTTACTTATTGGCTGTGTAAGAAGCCTTCAGGAACAGTCCTCCAGGCCTCTTGAAGGACATTTTAAAGCTCCTCTTTGGATGTTTTTTCTCATCTTAAACTGTTTACAGTTTGAGTTTTCAGGATTATCACCATGCTGAATATTCTTCCTTACACACTACATTCTATTAAGGGGTATGCCAAGGTTTTGGGTAAAGGCTCTTTTTTAATTGCTTTACAGGGTCCAAATTATGATTTTCTGTCAGTCAAACTGCATTAGCTCTAAAATCTTTAGCAAATCATTTGAATAAACAGGTGCAATATCTATGTCCTCAAAGGGAAACCTTGGTATTAGAATGAGTTCTTTGTTCCTTATATGTATGACACTGATAAATGCTTATTAAAATGCAGGGGTGGGCTGTGAGGGAGATACCTCTTTGGGGAGGTAAATTAATCGTGGCAGTTAAAGGTGGTGTCACAGACATCATTAAACAAGGAAAAAGAGGCCTCCACCCAAAGTAAAACATCTGCTAAACACCATTTCATTCAGCAAAAATCACAAAATGCATCAATGAGTTTGCCAACCCTCTAAGAGTTTTGTGGAAAATGGTCGAAAAAGGATCTCAACACTGAAACAGAAACAGAAGGAATGACACGAGGATATTTCATTTGTGGATATTGATCCAAAGTGAAGCCCCTCTGGCTGCAGTAAACAGGAGCACACCTCCTGTTATTGTTATCATTTTGTGCCTTTTCTGTTAATGATTAAGTCAAACAGTCGGTCATCCCTCCGGTCAGTGACCTGACAGGTAGACGGGTCTAAACTGACTCCCTGAAAGCGGCTGATAACAGTATTTTACTTGTGATTAGGTAATCTTTACATTACAAGGCTGTCAGTGTGTGTGTGCTTTCTCTTACACACTGGGGCCCGTGGTGGCAACTGGAACATATACAAAAGAAACTAGCAGAAAGCAGACTTTCTTTTGGGATTTTTCTTTTTCGTTACATTATTCAAATAATTTATATTTAGCCCGGCTCTTCAAAGGGATAAACGTCGGATAAATTCACTCTGAGTTCTTTTTTGGATTGATTCCTCTGATCCCACTCTCCCATTTGTGAGGAATGCCTGCTGCTCCTTATGGATGTGGATACGAAATGTAGCAACACCAGCTCATTCAGTGAATGCTGTAAGTTTCCCGCCCTACATCACGTATTCTCTTCGCCAGTACTCACACCATCTGTCGCATTCCCTTTGTGTACGTGGCGAAGCTTACACTTCACGTTTGCGCCATGTGACAGAAACCAATGGAGGCAAACTGACAGTTATCTTATGTTGTGTCCTGCTGTTTGACTGCTCTGAAACGTGATCAACTTGCATCTCTTTTGCAGTCGAGGAGTCATTCGCCCCGCTTCCTGTGGTCATCATTCCCTCTCTGCTTGCTTTAGGCACGGCTTTAGTGGTGGTGCTGATTTTCGTGAGTCTACGTCGGAATAATCTAAGGAGATGGAGGACCATGGCTCATTTTACAAATGGTATGAACTGCGGTAACCCTGTGTTGTTCATACTGAACATTATGTGAATCCAAAGCTTTCACAGTATCTCCCATCAAAAAGAATTGGGACTATATGGGCAACGTGCATAGAGTTTCTTTGGTGCTTTGATGTGCCAGCATTTTCTATTTTCTATCATTGATCCCCTCTTTGTATTTCAAACCTGCGCCATGTTAAAGAAAAGGTCACGTCAACAAGACATTTGTCATCATGATTTTTACAAAAGCAGTACCCAAGAGAGTCCAAATCTTTAATGAGCAAAGATGGCCAGATGACCTCCATTTTGGCCACAACCGGTAAGGAAATCATTGAAATAACTCAAAACAAAGCTGATTAATAAAACACTGGAAGTGTGTATTATGTCTCATCCTACAGTGCATATCATTCAACACTGGAGGAATTTCATTGCCTGATGTAAAGTGACTTTGATCCCTCAGATGGTGCCACGGGAAGAGTCACCATCAATGAATAACTACAGGAAATCTTCGTCAAGCATTATGATACATTCACAAACATCACTTTAAACTTGCAACCATCAGTTTTCTGTATTCGCTTTATCCAACTCAGAGATCCAGCTTTAATTGACCAGCAACCATTGTAGTTCACACTCACTCCTCCAGTCAAGTTATTGTCACTAGTCAAGCTAACAAGGATTTTGGATGGTGGGACATAGCTGGGGTATCCTAAGAGAGCCCACACATCAAACTGAACTGTAGGAGCTTAATGTCGACCCTGAACAAAGGACTCATCTGGGACCATCACACAGTGGATCACCATTCCCGACTTTTGGCTTCTTCTTTTTATTTTTAGAATAAATGAAAACTGCGTGCCCTTGGAAAAAAGACAAAAAGACAAAAATAAAGTCTGGACTGCCATCAGTGAAGATTCCCAAAAGCAAGGGTCTTACAGGGTTTAGTCTACATGTTTACTGTAAAATTGGAAACGCTCTTTTGCTTTGGCATCCTCAATGCCAAGGCACATATCAAGGGTTTAGTAGGACTAGTAGTATTACTAAGGAGAAAAAGTATTACTTTCCCAACATAGTTTTTTTTGTTGGGGAATGTGCTACGTATCTGAAATGATATTACTGTCAGCAATTGAAACAGCTTTCAGTTGTAGGAAGAAAGTATGATCCAACTATTTAATAAATAAATACAAGACATAAAAATCCATATCTCCTCCTGTGTTTCCAAAAGGCCAGCAGAGATCTTCTGAGGGTTCGCCATCCGTAAGCTCCCAGAGGGACCAGGCTGCTCTGAGTCCCTGGGAAATCCCAGAAGACTGCACTATTGAGGGACTAGAATTTCTGCAACCTGGCCACTATGGTTCCATTTGTAAAGGTGTGCTAAGGCGGCGAGATGGAGCCTCCTCCTCTGTGGTGGTGAAGTCCTTCCGAGGTGAGCTTGCCCTAGTTAACACTCATTTGTTTGTGAAATGGCCGCCAGCGTTCCTTATTTCGTCTCCATCGCGTGTAGATGGCGCCAGCCGGCAGGAAACGGCGGAGTTTGCGGAGCTGCTTCTCTTCCACGCCACGGTGTGTAAACACCAGAACGTGGTCCAGATGTTGTTCTGTCAAACCAAACGTTTGCCTATGCAGCTGCTTTTAGACGCCTGCACTCCGGGGAACCTGCTCCACCATCTCTGGTCACTCAGGAATGAAGGTTGTCAACAGGTTTGACCCGCCACCTTCTATTTATTGTCTCACTCTTCAACTTCCTCCATTTTGTGGATTCACTGATATCATCTTTTTTGCATTCCAGAGCAATCCGAGCGCATTAGGAGAGCAGCTGGGATTCTCTGAGGTGTCAGTGTTTTTGGTGGCGAAGCAAGTTGCAGCTGGCCTGGTGAGCCATTTTCTTTCGGGGGGGGACCAATTATTCCTTGCATTTGCCATTTCACTCCCGTAGTTCCAGGGGTGAAACAAAAAACAGGAACTGTTTATCATTAAATTGGAATCCTCACCGGCTGTGACTGGCTTTGGCCCTCAGGATTACCTGATGTCGGAGCACCGGTTGGTGCACGGCGATGTTGCTGCCAGGAACGTCCTGATTGGCCCGGGCCTGTCGGCGCGGGTGTCCGGGCTGGGTGTGGCGTTCGAGGGACGGAGAACGGGTTCGGCTGTCAGGCGGAGGGCGGCGGAGGTCCCTCTCAAATGGCAGGCTCCAGAGAGGATCATGATGCGGCTCAGCATCGACAGGAGCGACGTGTAAGGGCAGAATAAAGGCTGAGAAAAAAGCCAGGAGAAAGACATGAAATGTGTTGTTTATTCCAGTTTTAAAAACTGCTCTTTAAATCATACAGGTAACAAAAAATAATGATTTTGAAACTGCTAAAATTGTATATCTTTCCCAGGTGGTCATATGGAATCTTGCTATATGAACTGATAACATTAGGTAAAGAAAAATCTCTTATTCTCTCATTGCCTGTTTTTGACTAAAGGAAACATAACAAATCTGTATTTTATCGATGTCTATTTCAACTTCTCAGGTTTGAATGTTTACCACAAACTCACACATCCACAGCATGGCTGTGTTTCTCCCTTAAAGTCACACTCGTGTATCTGAATATTGCATTCTTGAATCACATCCCAGGGTCTCCCCCGTATCCAGAGCTGGAGCCTCTGGCGGTACTTCCAAAACTGCAAGCGTGTTATCGGATGAAAAGGCCAAAGAACTGTGGAGCACCTCTGTAAGTATGTTTCACATTCAGGCCAAAGCCAGCCGTACAGAGCAGGCGTATTTACACGGATTAAGAGTGCTCGTGGAGTTGTGTGAGCAAAAATGAGAAAAACTTGAACCACAGACTGGCTGCTGGGCTGTCTTGATGGATTATGAACACTGATGGGGTTTTGTTTTTTTCTTAAAAAGTCAATACAAATTTTTCCAGAGTAATTTAACTTTTAACTTGATCCGCCCTGACTGGAGTGTGGTTAAGAGCAAGAAGAACCCCCAACAGGATTTGATGCTCAAACAGTGTTACCTATCTATGTGCATACTACCTAAATCAATTTAAACTGAACTTTCTTGTCCTTTGAAGCAACCCCAGCGAAGGCTGAGAACATCGTATCCTCTGTATCTGTAGATAAAAAAAGGTTTGGACAAACTAAAAAGCGACAAACCCTGTTTGTATCAGTTCTTTAACACCTGCATTTAGAAAAAAGCGCTTTACATTATCTTAATTTCTTTGTAGGAATAACATTGGTTTTTTTTCTAAATAAGTGGGGCAACACTTTATGGTAAAAGCGTGAAATTTAAAATAAATTTCATGACATAAAGATGCTACATACTACATACTTAATGTTAGAGCCAGTTTAAATGAGTAGACAGTCTCTAGTATATTCTATAATCAGTGAAAAATGTGCTTTACCTGCAGGTATGATCTGATGAAGTACTGTTGGATGTGGAGTTTTAAAGACCGCCCCGCATTTTCAGCCATCATAAAGCTGTTGGAGTCGTCCCTCCACCTAGCAGCGGCCAAACCCATCAGTGTTCCTGAGACCCTGGACATATCTGAGTACAACAGAAAGGCTGGACTTCTCTCATAGACACCAAAATTACTTGTAAATACAGAGTTATATATCTGATTTGTTATGTCCATAAGTTTTACATGGTTTTCCAACAAATTAACCTCAGAGTGAGCAGTTGAGCAATCTCAAGCCAACTAAGATGACATTTTTTTTCTGATTTTCATGAATTAAGACACCGATATTTTGAATAAACGACACTGTCCCCGCTTTATTTTATTCTCATCTCTTTATTTTCAAAATGTACAGACTCAAAATCACAGATCGTATTCTGCTAAAGGATCATTTCCATTCATATCACAGTGCAAAGTACAGTTTTTGTGTCTGCAATAATGCTTTTGGCATGCATACATTACTGTGACTTTACAGTTTGGAAACCAAAACACCCACACAGGAAAGCTGAGTGTACTAATGAATGCGTTAGGAGTAGATCTGTCTCCAATCTTAGTTCTGATTTTCTTTACCGCCCTAGCTTCCAGAAAACGTGCTATGAACCACGTTGCGTTTAATCATTAAATCGGGGAGACACGACTGCAATTTTTTTTTTTTCCCCTCAGACAAAAGTCATTACAAGAATTTTTGAAATACGAACAGCATTCCCAGAAAGCGTTCTGTCGGCCTGGTACATTTTCTGCTTAACGCCTATTGTTTAACCTTTAGGTTATGGCGTAAACAAGGTTTGAATCATCCAATATACTGGGAGATGCTAGCTCAATGACGATGGCTTTAAACGGGCAGAATCAGAATGGAAAAAAACATGAGAAACTTTCAGGGCTGCGAACAGTCAAATTCACCGCTAACTAACTCTGTGCTATGGTTATAAGGCCTTTAAACGTTCATTAAAAAAGCATTAGAATTTCTCCGTTTGCAACTCGCAATGCAGAGGGCATGAATACCCATTGCAAAACTCAGTGGGTGATGCCAAAAAACGGCTCTTTGCCCCTTCAAAAACAAGTAATATCTCTTAGACATAATACAAGTTAATGAGGTCTGAAGTTCCCGCAGCTCTGCCTGTGTGATCACAGCCAGGATTGCTCTGCAACATGGTGACACTTTTACCCACTAGATGGCAGGAGAAGCAGGGTTTCTAGCCACTTTTAGGCCTTTTAAAGAGTAAATGACACTAGCGACATCACTGACCAGCCCTGGTCTGAGGAGAAGTGTGAGAAGCGACAGTCATCCAGTGTGGATTTACTTACTATTCAAATCATAATGCCTCTTAAAACAGAGACAAACACACACGATGGCCCAACAAAGTCACACACAGAGGATGCGAGGATATATGGAGATGTAACCCACCTTTTTCTTGGACAGAGGCACCACTGAGTTAAATCAGAAAATCTCAAATCCTAAAACAAGAGCCTCTGGTTTATAAGAGCCAGGTTTTTCAATTCAACCTTATTTACAACATACATTTGGAACAGCAAATCAAAGAAGACGGAGCCAAAGACTCAAAAACGGTTGCCTCGGAGAGAGGAAACAGGTAGATTCTGAAGAAATCCTGGCCTTAACTCCACATAAGGGAATATAACACAACCCTGATAAAAAACATTAACAGATGTCAGGCAACTAAAAAAACAGGTCTCATTCAACGAACACCCATAACTGTGTCACATATTTCAGTAATGTCCTGTGAGGACAGGAAATGTTTAATCCCAAAAATGTTGCAGTTGTATCTTGGCCTTCACCTTTTTTGGTCGTCTCTCAAAATTCTTTTAGGTGATTCGAATTGGATTTGAGAATTAACCACGTACAAAGAGTGCACATATTGGGAGTATTTGCAGTTTTTCTCCGTCAAATTAGTTTTTCGTCACGTGTCAGAGAGGGGGACATCCCCTACTTTCACGTGCGCCCTACCCCCCGATGAAGGGGTGGTCTTAATAATACTGCAGAGAGGAGATTTAATCAGGTAAATCTGAAGATATTTTTAAACATGCCACAGGAAACATCACAAGGGTTTACCCCGACAGGAAACTGTAAATTCTAACTCTCCCGACACACGTCAAAATAAAGAGTAAATACAGCAAATGTTGGCCTGTGATGAAAGAGCATTTTTCTGTGAGCTTTGACGCCCCCCCGGCAGGAGGGAGCAGCAGCCGTCTGGAAGCCTCGTTTCACCCGGAAGGGAAACCTACCCCAGGGGACTCGGACAGCGCTAGCAGCCCCTCTTTTACACCTTACTGCTCCAAAGGGACGTCGGGAACAAAATGTAGGAGACAGACCACAGCAGATAGTACACGCATGCAGGGGGAAAGGAGGAGCAGAACACCATGGCGATTCCTTAGAGAAAAAAAATGTTGAAGAAACGGGATTGTCAGAAGCAAACGGTGCCGAGACTTAATGGAAAGGCATTGACATTATTTTAAGGGATTTTTATGCAAAACAGCACCAAAATGCAAGCCTAATAGTCAATTACGCACAAAAAAAAACTGCTATGTGCTACAAATGTGAGCAGTTTTTTTCCTTTTAAACAGGAAGAAACGATCCTCTGGAAAATGTACCATTCCCAGATAAAGGTGAGTCTTACACATCAGGTCCAACATGATTGTGATAGTAACCAGTTTAACTTAATCTCCTGAGACCCGAGCTTTTATTTGGTGTGCATTTTTTCTGTCCTCAAGATATAAACGATTAGTAGGATCTGATAAGTTTAATAACTAGACTCTGTCACGACAGAGGAAGTTATTCCTCATATAGGGACAGTGGGTTTGTCTTTGTGTTCAAAATGCGTATTTATGCATTTAAAAGTTTTCCTCGCAATTTGGTTCTGAAGGTCCAAATGACTCAATTACAAATTTTTAATTAAACGATAAATACATTTTATTGTAGATTTTAAACATTCGTGTCTGTCTTCTATGAGGCCAAAAGGTCAACGTTGTAAAAATCAAATTTTAAAAAAAGAAGTATCATGGTACAGAGAGGTGAAAATGGGGTCTCAGGAGTTTAAAAGCTCTGTCGGAATAGTTTTCTGCTTTTCCATCTGACAAGTGGAACAGATTCTTAGACGTGACTTTACCTCCAGCATACACTACTTTCTTCCAGGCTTGGGACTCCAGCACTCTGTCGTGGGGGTAGAAGTTCTGACTGATCATGAAGAGGATCATGGCCACGGCGATGACCCGCAGCATGGCCATGTTCCCCCCCGACAGCAGGGAGGCGCTGGCCAGGATGGCCGAGGAGTAGATGCAGGGCAGGCCGCGGTACATGAACGGGATACCTGGGGAGTAAAAACCCGTCAGATCGGGAGAAAAACCCAAACCGGAGCGGGGGGGAAGAGCGGGCGGAGGCCTCACCGCTGGAGAAGAAGCACAGACGGACGAAGACGGAGAGGACGTAGCACATGCACAGGACGTTGTCCACCAGGTCGGACGTTCTCAGCAGCAGCGAGGTGGCGATCCCAAAGGTGGTGAAATCGGCGAAATCGTCTAGTTTGGCACCTAAATGCATTTGAAAAACAAAACAGGGTTTGAATATGTTTTGCTCTCCTGACGCCTGAACTTTAACATCATCATCAACAACATCCAAGATGGACAATTTTTTTATAGGGTGTAAATCTTAAGTGGTCAGAGAACCGTTAAAAAGCCAAAGGCTTCCTTTCATAGTCATGACAGTGTGAGAAGAAGGACCGATAAAGTTATGGTTTGCTTTGATGGGCCGGCCAAGTGGATTAGTTCGCTTCTCCATGACTTATGCTCCTTTCCTTTGTTTTCTCCAGCATGGTCACACCCAGCGTTACTGGTAGGTCCCATGTGACAGCTGCGGGGCACATGGACGTGCCAAAATAACAAAGCAAACAACAACCAATGGACTCTCCATAAACAACATTCTCTGCCGCCTCGTCCCTTTATCCCCCTCGGGAGCACAGAGCGTGTTTTTCAGTCCGATGGGGGACGAGGTGATCCGGGTCGCCCCGCTAACCACGGGGTGAGGCGGAATTCCGCAGCCCGGGGTCAACAATTTAAGCAATTCCAGATACGCAGAGAAGCCAAAGCAACGGGGATAAAATGGACAATCGGAGCGGGATCCCCTGGAATTAGGCTGCTTAATCAGAGGGTAATTGTTCGTTTGACTCAAATACGCAGGGGGGGGGGGGGGGGGGGGGGCGGAGCGACACCCACCTGCAAAATCATGCAGAAAAGAAAGCAGGCGGAGACACAAAGCCCCCCCTGTGCAGCCAACAATGATGCACCTGGAGCTATTTCGGGCTCTGAGAAAAACGTGAACTTGCACACTGGGCAAATTTAGCTTTATTTATCACATCAGGGTCATTCGGGAAGTGGTTTGCACACATAACTTTTTACAAAATGTAACCCCCTTATGTCGAAGTTGTGTCTAAGACTTACAATTGGAGCCATTTTTAAAATGCAGATTAACCACAACGTATGCTTTTAATGAGACTTTGAGCCACGTTCCAAGCATACGCTGAAAAGATTTGTCGAAGCTAGCAACATGACATGAAATACGCCGGATTCCTTTAGAAGTTCTGTAAGACAAAGTGGAGCTTTTCAACCGCAGAGAGTTCTTTTACTGCCTCTCTTTGTTTATCACTTCATGCAGACAGTTTGGAAAGTCCAGACAAAAGACTGTGCAGCAAACCCGGCCGGCATCCAAGCCGAAGTTTATCTTTGGTTAGAAAGTGAAGAAATAAAAAAGCTCTGGGCCACAACTCTCCACTTACCCAGGGCAGAGCAGGCATTGAGTCGCCTGGCAACTGCTCCGTCTGCCAAATCTAGCAGGTAGCCAATCAGAACCAGCCAACATGCAGCGTGATGGTGCCTGGACAAAAACAAGCGAGGGTTAGGTTGAGCTATTTGATGACAGCAACCCTTTTGGAAAGGGTAAAATATGTGCCAGGTCTGGCCAGCAGAAAAAGGCAGAAGCTAACAGCCAGTCGAAAAAAAACAAGTTCGACTTCACGGGGCTTAATCACTTTTAGCAGCACTGGTAAAAACAAAACTGCTATCATTCTGTTTCAGTTATTTGAACCCTGAGGAGCAACACACAACAAAGCACAAATCACACAAACTTGCTAGGAGACAATGCAATGTATTTTTCCACAGAGAGATTTTCCAAAATAGTGTCCTTTTTGTTGCCTTTAATCAAAATAAAATTGTTGCTTGGATTTCTGATTCATTTGTCTTTAGCGTGTCGCATTTTTTTCTGGGAAATCAGACCCATAGATTTTTTTTTTCATCCAGCAGCAGACCCCGGCCACACATTTCCCGGCGGTAAACTCCATTAACGGCGTGTCCACTCACCCGCTCAGACTGCTCAGAATGGAGGCCATGCCCATGACCATGTTGGCCATCGACAGAGCATTGGCTGCGTTTTTACGGGCAAACTCTTTGATCTGAAGTCCGGTGGTCTGATCATTCAGAAATAGCTTGTTGGTGCACTGGAAGAAACCTGAGACCAAACGACGACATCAGTCAGTAGTTGCCTTTGTTGGGAGATCAACCTCTACTGTGATCGGATGACCGGCTGACCTTCCGATATATGTGTCTGAATAGGATATTTACGCATTTTATCTCAATCTCAGTCACACTTCGGTGGGTTTGAAGCAGTCTTAACTGCTTTAGAATGCCATCCATGATGCAACAAAATAATATTGCACACCACAGAATGGGGATGCATACTTCAGTGAATTGAATCATACGCTACATTATGTTTCTTTAACTCCATGTAAAGGCAAAAAAAATTACTCCAAATGGATCCCCCATCCAATGTAAAAGAAGTATCACTTACCAAGACGTATGCTTATTGGGTGGACACCAACCTTACGATACATTCATCCATTTTTAGATCACAAAAATGCATTTGTTACTTCACATTCATTCAGTCAGATGTGCACAGCCTTTTAGCATGCAACAGAAACCAGTGCCTCATTATCTTATCATTGTAACGTTACTTGTGTTTTGAGTGAGGTAAAAAAGTGACATGCACATATCTTCAATATACACTGCTAACATTAAGAACGGGAAAATGCATAAGTATACAGTATATAAGTACGATACATGTATATTCTTTACATTTGAGGTCAAGTACACACAAAGACTGGTATGGGGCACAAACATTTAGGTCGCTACTGGCTACAGCGACACAGATTTGGATCTACTGGGTTGACTCATATCACAGGAGTTAAATTGGCCTGATAACACTGACCTCGCCCAAGGACGTGGCAGGACCGGTCACATAGCTTACGGACAGCTAAAAGCTATTAATACCACCTCCACTTTGTCTTTTATGGAGATAGTGGCATTGACATTAATTTATAGCCTCGACATATTTCTAAGATTTCTAATACATAGTACACTTTTTAAATTCTGCATTTCAAGGGGGGAGGTTGACAACTGGGAATCTATGCAAACTGCTTTAAAAAACAAAACAAAAAAAACAAGGGTTTCCTCCTCCTGATTTCTTTTTCATTCTGAATATTCCGATGGTTACAATCCTAATTTAATTTGTAATTTTATTGGTTAAATTGCTGTGACTCAGGTCTTGCCACAAAATCGTTATACACGACAGATTGAGGCCTTTGTTTCAAACTTGGGATGGCTGTCTTGTTGATTAACTCAACCCTAAACAGATTTTGTACTAGCTAGTAGTACAACCACAGTCAAGTGTGATTTCAGTCAGCTATTTAATTGTCCCAGTAAACAAGCTCAAAAGGTTAACCGAGTTATTGACCACACATGTTACGCAATGATAGGTAGCATTTAACCTCATTTCACCTTTTTATTGGGTATTTCACAGTTCACACTTCAAAATAATTGACAAAAAATACAGTCGGTGTTACAGCTATGTCCATGTCATACCCATTGGATCATGCATTTATAGATTTTTTTTGTAGCAGTATGTATTTTTGACTGATAGATATTACAAATATATTATTCTTTGTTGGATCCAAGCTGTGCTTTCTTAGGTTAGTACATGCAGCGGACAAAACAAGTTTTGGTTAATTCCACATTTAGCCACATTTAGCTGTTAGCCAGTCTTTCACTTGAAACGGTTAACTTTAGGTTGTCAGCACTTCTTTAACATTCGTTCTTTATGTCTCCCTGCTTTGACTCTTTAGTATTTTTTTCAAACATGCCTACAGGTAAACATTCCAACCTCTCAGATCATGCTAACACCTAGCACAAGTAGCATTTCATTTGATATTACTGTGGTTTAGTTCAAGTAAATGACAAATGATAAAGGTTTGCCACAACTGTGACTTACTTTAAAAACTAAATGTGGAAAAATACAAGGTAGTATGACTTTGTTTGGGGTGTAAATATGAGACTAGTTAGAGGTTGCACTCTTGAACAGTTTCTTCAGATGTGACCAAAAGTAAAAGACCTGTTAGCACACTTTCATATAAAGGCCCTTTTAAACAATCAGGCTGGTGGTTGTGTGAGCTTCAGTATCTGTACAATCTGGTGGTTTACTTTGGGTATTTTTTCTGTTGTTAGATAGTTAATACTATTTTCACACATGTACAGTGTGTATAACACAGCATTTTGTGCTTCAGTTGTTACATAATTTTTGTCATTTGTGTTCCTTGAGGTTGTTTTTTTCTGCTTAAGAAAAGGAGATTGATGCATATACTGTACATATAATATAAAGGGTGAAATCAGGGGGAGTAATCCTTTTTCACAGAGAACTGAACATTGGTCTTTAGGGAACTAATGTGATATCTAGTCTATTTAGTGAGGACTGAACTTGTGGTATGAATGATTTTTTTTTTTAAATCTAGCAATATTGCCCCTTTCTATCAGTTAAGGAACTCGTGGATGATGCCACGCTCCAGCATAAAGCTGACCTCACTAACTTTTTTTTCTTAATTGAAAAAAATAAAACGGTGCTTTCTAACAGCCTATCCTTTGGTATGCTTATCATTTTCTCTCAAGTCATGGTGCTATCCAAGACAATGTTGACAGATAATGACCTGCAAAACTTTTTTATTTTCTAAATGTTGCAGTAGCAACCCCTCACGAGATTTTCACCCTGAACTTCCTGTGATTCCAAAGCCAGGCGAGTTCAAGAGACTCTTCATCTGAAAGAAAACAGCGCATGAGACAAAGCAGAAAGCCAACAACAACTTGCACTTTTACTTTACAGCATGCTTTTTTCTTTTTTTTTAAACATAATTTACTACCTGGCATTTGAATTACTGTCTCAAGACTTTTCACGGGAAAACACAAAACAATAGACAGTCATTGGAGAGAATACGCTGCATTTTCATTCTAAAAATCATGGAACTGCTCTGATTTGCCAAGTGAATAAAGAGGTTGAATCAATCAGCCACACAGGCAGCTAAATGTCTGTGGAGTTTTCCTCGAACCCCCTTAATGCACTGCCTTGGTTACTAATAAAAAGGGGATAAAACCAGAGCCAGACACAGGTCCCTATTTCTGTATTGCTGCCTAATGAGAGCAAAGCATGACGGGAAGGCCCTCGTTATGTAACACCCTGCAATGTTTCCAGGTAACGGCAAAAAAAGAAGACTACGCTAAACAAATAAGGAAAACTCCACTCGCAGTTCACAAGATGGGTGATAGGAGTTAAAATAACTAAATCATTTACGCGCTTAACCGAGAAGACGGTTCCAGAAATGTGACAAACCACACTCTAAAGTGGTTTGGCCCAAGGTCTCTTACACGGTGTGTAAGTAGAAAGACAATACAGGTCTCCAAAATGATGGGGTCAATTTATACCCACACACACCTCAAAGCTTTAACAAGGATTTGACATATTATAATAGCTATTTATAGATCACATACCAGTATTACAGGTGCGGTAGGTGACAAGGTTTACATAATGTAGGCTTTAATCGACCGTCTCTCCACATAATCCTTGGCACCCGTACTCTAATAGGTGTATAGTAATCCCAATAAAGAGATGAGATTATAAAGGGAGTACATACCAGAGGAGGGAGTCAGGAGGATCATGGTTGTCTCTGGTTGTCAATACAACAGCTAAAATGGGACAAAAAAAAGGGTGTCAGTATACAATTGCTGCCTACGTGAGATGTAGAATGTGGAATAATAAGTAGAAAAGATGTTTATAAATCATGTAGGATGTTTTGTTTGCGTAAATATCCTCCCTTCCATAGTGTGCATGTCTGTTTTAGGGTTGCTTTGCTGTCTGTCGACCTTCATAATTGCCCGTTTTGTCACCCCTATAGCCCTAAATCAAATTCTAACATACACAAATTCACCAGGTGAATAACAAAGTGCGATGACAGTCGAAGATTACTGTGAAAACCACCAGGAGCCGCTCGGCTGTGCGCCATGACGCACTTTCCTCAGCACCAGTCTTGGCGTTTTTTTTGGGGGGGGGGGGCATGACGTTTCTGTTTAAATGCATCCCCAAAAGCAAAGAGGTGGCTTATCTAAAGCTCGAGTTCAACATTTAACATCGCAGCACACTTACTAAGAGACTGGGACAAGTGGCGCGAGTGCGTCACACCAGATGATCCCGCAAATGTAGAGAAACTCTGTTATAGGGGATGTTAAAAAATCCATTCTGAGCTGATGCGCTGAGGCAGTTACTGACATGAAACCAAGTTAACTCCACCTTACCTGAAAGCAGCTCCGCAGATTTCTTAAATTCAGGGATCAAAATGATGTGACGTAAAAAAAAAAAAAATGTCGCTTTCGTTATTTTTTTATATTCAGTTCCGGTATATTTTTCTCCCCGAACTGATTCCCGCTATAGCTGACGTCTGACCCGAGCGTTTTAAAGCTGTCAAGGTCTCTGTATGAACACAGAAAATGACAAGAACCGGAGGCTGGTTTCCTATCAAGTACGCAACTGCCGATTTCTGCGCGTCCTCTTAAAGAGCAAGGATAATTCCACTGGAATATTCCACCGGAAATGACGCTCCCTCCGATCCCAGATTTTCAACAATATTGATTGTCGATCGACGGTGTGATATTATTTGGAAGTCAAAAGGTGTAAATGAATAAAGGAAGGTATTTATTTTGTATTATAAAAAAACCCACTAACAATTCAGAGATATACAAAAAGCTTCTCTATACAACATTTAGGTTCACATATTCTAGTGTTCCCAACATAAACTGTAGGTTCCCATATAAAATCAGGAACTGGAATTGGCAAAAACCAGGAAAAATAATTTAAAGAACTATTGGTAAAGTAAAGTAGGCATATCTTGCTTTTGCTTTTCTTATCATTGTATGTAGTTGGCTTCAGTTGGCTCTAAATTATTTGGACTATGACTTCATTTTGGGTGATGATTAAATCAAAATTCTTTGAATGAGTTGAACAACCTTTAATCAAAGGACACTGATTAAATATTACTTACTTTTTTCCACTCCGATTATTTCTGTTGTGGCAGTTGTACATTTAAGAATACAATTTCAGAAAACCCAAAACATAATCGTCCACATCTCTAATTAACTGGGAAGCAATCATAAACATGCACAATGGTGAAAAAAAAGTGTGTTATACCAAAAAATAAATTACCTAAAACAAGTTTTTGGAATGAAGTTTCCTAACTAATAACAACAAACCAATTCTTTGAAGGGCTTTTTACGCCAACAAAATTATTTTAGGTGTTTTCAGAGACTAACTCCATTTAAACAAAATTGCAACCTACTCATAAAAAGTAGAGAATATAAGGGAAGCCCCATTGAAAGGCAACAGTGAGAAGTTTAATAATAGGTGAGGGTATCAGAAATGGGTATAAAAGTAAAATAATCACGGGCTCTGTCTCTACAAACAAGACAGAATCATAAATCCAGTTACCATGCCAAATTCTGTCAATCATCAATGAGTTCTAAAAATATCTTAAAATATTGTATTGTGGATTACACTGTGGGTCTTCACAACTGGAAAAAATACAGAAGCCAGCCTGTATTTGTGATTGGCCTTGATGGAGACCTACATTTTGGAAAGATTTAGGCAATTTACTTGTTTTTTTCTCAATTAAAAAGTTATATTAGCATGACAAAATTGATTTGAAACTGAAATTTGTATTTAACATGCAATTATGACTTAATCATAACAAAATGTCAGATTTGAAATATCTAAATGAGAGAAAAACCCACTACTATTCTAGTTTGAATCTCCTAAAAAAATCAAATAAATGCAGCATTTAAGATACACATCTAATATAATATGACATACACATTTTGTTCTTCATAATGTTCCAAAAGTTATCACTTACATATTAAGTCAACTCTCATGTCTATCACTCAAATTTGATGGAGCATTCATGTACAATACAGTAATTTGATCTCCTATTAGTAATTGAGATCAAATCTGTTATCGTGTTAAAGTTAACAAAGGCCAATTGGATTTAGATTGTTTTTACTGTGTATTTTTCTGTCAAAATGATAAAAGTATGTAAGGTATCCAGCGTAAACGGTCAGCAGGCGGGTCGGGGCTGAAAGTGTAAAGTATTAAAAAAGGAATGCAGCTTGAGTGGAGTTTTTTTGTGTGTGTTTTGTCTCCAAATAGCTGCCCGTGCATGAATGAAAGAGTCCGAGTCATCACCTGATGCTTACAGTAAAAACAGCTGTTTTTTTTCCCGCATTAACTACGAGACTACAAGCATGTGCTGACATTTAGTAACACAACAACAGCTGCGATTGTGACACAACCGCACACATACATCAAGAATGTATGTGATGAGTTGCAGATGAGTTGCTTCTCAGGCCGAGCAGAAGGTCAGAGGACAGACGAGGCGGACCCTGTAGTCTTGGCAGAGTTTGCCGCCCGGCTGCTCAGCGTTCACGCAGGCAAAGCCAAAAGTTGCATCATATCTGGAAAATGTGGAAGCAGACCGTTAAAGGGGTACTCGGCTAAATTCAGAAACAAAAGCTTTACTCAGTGCAGGGTTGTTGTTTTTCTTATTGTGGGCCGCATTTACCATCTTTACAATGGGACATAGCAATATTTTTTGGCTATGTCTGTGTTTTGTAAAGGTTGAAAGATGTTTAAACCACCCTCAATCTGCATGTTTTCTAAACACTACAAATAACCAAGATGTTTCAAATACATCTGGGTGCAAACTGGAAGTCAGTAGGATGGGTATCCAACTCCGCCCACATCCAAGTCGGCCATTTTGATTACGTCACCAATAGAAAGATCCCAGGCAAGAAAATCATAATTGCTTCATGGCAATATAGACATTTATTAAAAAATAGTGAAATTCATCTTGCAAACACTGAATTAAACTCAATACATAATATTAGCTTAAAATAGTGGATGTAAAATAGGTTTGTACAATAAGTCCAAACAAATTTAACCCCAAAATATTTATTTCTCACAATTATGAAGGGTGGGGGGTCAGGGTTAGGGTTAGGATTAGGATTAGGGTCAGGGTTAGGGTCAGGGTTAGGGTTAGGGTCAGGGTTAGGGTTAGGGTTAGGGTCAGGGTCAGGGTTAGAGTTAGGGTCAGGGTTTGGACATCGTTTGTCTTTCGATTTCTTATAGACACCTCAGAAAACTGCTAGTCATATGACCTATTAAAAATGGCCGACTTGGATGTTGGACGAGTTGGATATCCAACTGAGGCCTCCAACAGACTGCAGCCAGAGGCTACTCAGATGGTTGGAGTTGCAGATAGTAAATAAGGATGCCAAATATAACCAATAGATCTATATCTAAAATAAGAAAATACAAATATAAATGGAGTATCTTAGGTGTGTAGCATTCTAACTATATACATATATATATATATATATAAAACCTTGATTTTGGACACATTTTGTAGCTTTACCTTGAGACCTCTTTAGATTAATCAGCTTTACCTTAATTTTGGATACATAATACAAGGTATTATCAACACTTGGTTACTGTTGTTGTCCGCTCCGGCGTTGCTGACTCACGTTTGAAAGACATCCCCGGTCCTGTGTGCAGGGACACCCGAGGCCGTCATGGCCTCAATGGCCACAGGCCGAGGGCAGACCTGACCGGGATACAGCGCCTGCAGCTGGACGAGGGTTTCATAGTCCCCCCGGCCAGTGGGTTCATCCACATTAAACCAAGCTGTTCTGCAGCCTGCCGAAACAAGGAGGAGGCTGTCAGATTCCACGTACTCATGTGGAGAAACACGTTGTTTTTTAATCTGAATGTATGTTTTTCATACGTAGGGAAACCCGGCCACATCCACCAGCCTCTCCAGCCTGTCATTGGTGTCTTGTCACATTTCCTGTTTTGTTTTGTAGTTCTTCCTGTTTGGTCCCTGTGTGGCTTTCCCACTTGCTCTCTGTTGATTTCCTGACTCCTCCCTAATTACCTCCACCTGTGTCTCGTTGTTTCATTCCCTTTCTTGTGTATTTAGTCCTTGTTCGTACTTGTCTTTTCGTCAGTCGTTCAAGCGTTCTAGTCTCGTCTTGCCTTGTTATCCTGACCTTTTGTTGCCTTTTCTCGACTGCCTGCCGTTCTTGTACTTTAGCCTGATCTGTTGCCTACCCGCGTATCGGCCTTTTTCTGGATTAAACGTCTTCCCCTTATTCCCTTGCCTGGAGTTTTGCATTTGGGTCCTGGTGTCACGATCCTGATACAGCATAGCAGTTTTATTTAGTTTTTTTTTATTACAGTGGTTCTACCTCAACAATACAACCCATTATGGGCAATATTTAATTTCTCTTTCAATATTGTTGTGTTTGATACTGTGAATAGCATTGAATTCTTGGAATTATCTTAGATTCAACAGTTAGAGGGGCCTGAAATTGGAGATCATTGACGTATTTCTCGGCCACACGTTGACGTGTGGAAACAAAGGTTTCACTTCTTAACGGATATCAGTTTTAATCCATCTAAATGAAGTATTTGAATCCTTGTTGCAATTTTCATTAACGTCGTAAAATTTTTCTATAACTTGACATTTAACTTTTGATAAGGGTTAAATCGATTGTTGCATTGATGGCATTATATATATTATATTATATAAGCGGATAAATAATGGAAAAAACACTTCTGTAGACCCGTTGAATATGTTTTCGCAAAGGTTTCCTAAAACCTATACTGAGTTAGTATTTTATTGTTATTCTTTCTTATTCTTTACAAGTTGATCGTCTTTTTAAAGTTAGTTTTTCTGTTACGTTTGCCTGTTTGATTTGAAAATGATCCAATGCCAGTTCTCTGCAAGTGAATGTGCCACTGTATTGGCGATATTTAAGACATTTGAGAATCCATTGCCACAATTCCAAACCACTGTTTGAAGTGGGATTGACCTGACTGCCACTGAATATTCCCCACAAATTTGAAGCCTTTAAATCTCATCTTTACAGACATCATCTTTCATCTTGTGCTTTCGAATGAATTCTTTTAACAATTTCAAACTAGATGGAAATAAAGTTCAGGAAAGTACCCGTGCCTGTATGTGATGGGTTGTTTATAACAGTTTGAGCCATAACTCTTTCATTAAATCATTACACTCGATTTTCTGCTTGAGTTTTCCCTTGAATTTAGTCACCATGCAGGTACAGTATGTCCTGCCCATGAACCGAACCATTTTACTTGTAGTTTGCTACCTGATCCACAACAAACCCGAGCTGTCCAGGGTTTTTTGGCTTGCTAACTTCTATTTTTCCTCATCTCAACCACTGGAGTTAGATGGTCACTCTCCCTGAGTCTGGACAAAGGTTTCACTCTGTTAATTTTTTTCCCCCCTTACATTTCAAAGAACATCCAGTACTTTCTTGGAATGAGTTTGTTGGTTCTCTGTAAATACGCTGTCATGAGGTAGCTTTTTGTCCTTTGAATGGACTTGTTGATTTACTTTTTAATCAAGTCACTTGATTATAACCTTGAAATTTAAGATTTGAATTAAAACATTTTTTTTTTTACAATAAATCTGTGCAAATGTTGATAGTAACAACACTTACCTTTACAGAAATCCGAGGGGCAGGTCAATATCACCTGATAATCCTCACATTGCTTGCTCTTCTGTTTTTCATTGATGCATGCAAATCCAAACTGAACATTGTAGCTGAAACACAGGTAATAACGAACAGACTGCGAAATGCTTTCAGCCAGAAAAAAAAATCAGATCTGAACCTGAACGTTTCATAATAAACCGATACGCTTACGAGAGGAAGTGGTCGTTGGTGTTTTCTGCAGGTATTCCGTCAGTTGTTTTGACCTCAATGCTGATGGGGTTTCC